CAATAGTGAAAAGGAAAATTTCATATCAACTAAAGCACATTTCTAAATTGGCTTCCAGTCAGGATTACTAGCAGTAAAGTGTATGTTTGAACATAGAAAGAGGAAATATTAAGTTTTTCTGGCCATTGCACAATAGATGGAGAATGTATCTATATTAGCCATGAAAGTACCCACAAAATCAGTTGTGTGGACTTCCTGATAATTTCCAAACCAACTCAAGAGAACATGAACTTCTACAAAATCTAATAGATTTCCCAGAGCAAAATTAATATGGCATATAAATTGCATTTTTTGCCAGTGATCCTTAAGTTACAAACTCCAAAAATTTTGTGAACAATCATCTACCTTTATTGCAGTTTCCCCCCTTTGCCACAATTTTCCAATAAAAGCCTTTCTGTTTCCAAGTTTGGATTTCTGCATAAATGTTAATTTAGTTCATATGATTTAAACCAGAGATGGTGTGCTATTAGAGACCATACAATTCCTACAAATAAAACAAAAGAAAAGGAGTGCCATACTCTTTCAGATAGGTAGACTGTAACGCTTTCCAATTTATAAGTTGGATCAAATTTGCTAAGTTCAAGATGGCCCATAAGCAGTAGTGGGTTCCACTTACCTTCGCTACTGGTTTGGAGCCGTGTGTGTGTGTGCTTGCTTCGCTCGCATGCGGTGCATGTGCAGAACCTTCTGCGCATGCGCAGAGCAGCCGTGATGACGTCCGGGTGGGTGGGCGGACCCTCCTGCCTCTGCCACTACCGGTTCGCTGAACCAGGGTGAACCGGTAGAAACCCACCAATGCCCATAAGGGCATGTTTTCAGCAGGCAAATCTCCCCATTTGTCAATCCAAGAGAGGAGTTACACACTGTGATATAAACATACATCTGGAAAGTTAAAATCTTCCCTGAGTGACATTTGAAGCTTCCTAAGTGAAAACTAAGCGGGATAATATCCACTTTCCAAAACCTCCATGAAATACATTTTAGGGGTAGATTAATACCACATTTAGTATAAATTACCCATGGTGAAACACTCATTTTCGAAGTATTAACTTTACACCAAACACTCAGTTTAAGTGAAGCCCAGGGAATTTATTAATAGTAGATTAGGTCTTCACTTTGATACTTGTTCATTCCCTGGTGGTTCAGATTTATATAGCTAATTTGCAAAAAGAGAAAAAAATACAGGAGGCAGTATGAAGTTGTGCAAATGGGGACATGAGATGAGTGTTGTACTTTTGAGTGATTAATGCTGCATAGCAGCTCACCAAGAGCAGTGCCCCCTCCCCCCTAATTTTACCCCATAAAAGCCATGTTACGTTTCTCCAAGCACACTGAAAATGTTTAAAACATGCCAAGATACTTCAAGCGAGTTGCTATGTTCTTATTTACCTGGGAGCAAATGCACATAAATTCCAAAGGATTTCCTTTCTACTAAGTATGGGACAGATTATGCTACATTAATTCAAGCAGCCCCACAAAGCACACATTTAATAAGGCAGCCCATGAATGATGGCATTTGTCCCTCAGAGATCTTAATATTACTATTCCTTACAAGACTCTCAGGGAATGTTTGGTAGGTCCCAGGAAACTGCAAAAATGTTTACATTTTTGTTCTACCTGAAAGACCACCTGGAAATCCTGAGATGCAAATGAAAAGAGTGTCACAAGTATCAATAATGCTGGCAACCAATTATTTTAGCATACTGCGTGATAAAAGTATAGTTCAAAAATAACCTATGCTAGTGACATACTGACATCACTTTTCTTTTTTGAAAGGAAATGGATTGCTACCAACAAGTCGTATAAAAGGAAAGTAAAATCCTGATTCATAAAGAGCTGAACTAGACTATCACGCTTAGCCATAAGAAAGCCTTATTATTTAACAAAGTGTGTGAACACACCACTTGTGGTTTATACCTTGGCATTACATGTGCACTCAGCCATTGTCCTTTATTCAATTAACCTTGTGTCTTAGCATAGAGTGTGAATCCAACTACTGAGATGTTTATATTTCCTTACTTCAGAAAAATGGAAAGTATTTCTCTATGTTGTGCATGCCTACGCAATGAAGAACTTTTTCTAGTTCACAAAGTGTTGGAAGATGTGAAGAACTGGGTCACAAAGGTTTGACAGGATCAATGCTTTTTGTGCAGCACCATCATGTTTCATAATCTGAAGATCAAGGTCTTAAAAATGACTTTGGCACTGTTATCAGAAGGATTTTTTTTTTTGCCAAACCTTGGATATTAGGCCTGAGATGAAAGCTACTGTCAAATACTGAAGACTTATAAATAAAAGAGAATTGCCAACTGACCTGCTTCCAAGTGCACATTCTCCATTATAGATTGTTATTTTATAAAACCAATTTCAAAGTAAATTTGATGGCTCAAACAGATTTGATACAGTCATGTTCCCCTGAAATCAATGAAGCAGGGTTACCATGAAAATTCAAGCCCACATAATAATCAAACCTAAATATAACTAACCTGGAGTTGGGCCAGACTACTTCAAGGATCACTACAGCAGGAAGGCAGGGCATGTTGCAGGTCCCATCTATTAGGAAAATACACCTAGTGGGACCAAGGAAAACTGTGGTGTCTTCCTTCCTATGGAACCTCATTCCCCTGGATATGAGATTGGCCCTCATCTTGATACTTTTTCAGAAGGCCCTGAACATGTAATTCTATGAACAGGCCTAGGATCCCTAGGCTGATGTGGGTCTGATCAAGTGGCTGGTTTGATTGTGCTTGTTGTTGTTTCAAGGGGGAAGATGGTTTAGATTGTGGATTTTTAATGTAGTAACCCACCTGGAGTCAACATGGATGAGTTGAGCAGCCATATGAATTTGTTTAATAAACAAACAACTAAACTCTCTACTGATTAGGCAACCTGCCTTTAAAATTAGAAAAAAAAAGATTTTTATCTATTATTGACCAATTCATTTTTGGAGAATTTGAAAATAGGCTAAGAATTTCAAGAAGGCTACCATGTGCGTCAGTTAACAAAAGCAACGAACATATAAAAACCTTTTCATCTTTCTTTTGGGTCGTTCTTCTCTGCTTCACCTCTGTGAAGAGCTGAGCAGATGGGACTCGGCTGAGGAATGCCTGATAGAGAAGAATCCGTTTTTAAAAGGAACAACTAGTGTGTGTTCCTGATAGATGGGACCCTCCAAAAAAAGGCATAGATTAGAGAGATTTCCAAGATTAGAAAGAATGAAGGAAACAAGTCTTGCCTACATATGAATCATATATATCTGCTGATGATCATAGGATCCTAGATTCTTCACAGAGGAAAAAAAAAACCACACTGGGTGTCAAGTCCCAGATATTTCTACAGGGATGCTGGCATTTTGGTGGGAGGAAGGGTGGGGGAGGAATGTAGTGGTCTGTATATGAAGTTTATGTTTCTGTTTTCAGTTTCTCTTTCTGTTTCCTGCATTACTGTGCTAATCTCAATATGAAGTTTCTTTTTCTGTTTCCTGCATTACTGTGTTAATCTCTATATGAAGTCTCTGTTTCTGTTTCTGTTTCCCTGCAATGATGTAGTGTGGGAGGGGTTTGGTTAGCATTGCTTTAAATAGCTGGTTTTAAATGAGAAACTTCAGTTCTTGCCTAGATCTCTTGTTATCACAAACCTTCCAATAAAAGCTCCTTTTGGAACCACTACAGTTTCAAGAGTCCTGCTTTCTTGGGAAGATTGGAGAGGCAAGACCTTACACTGGACTTTTTTTGCCCCCAGCCATTTTGCTTCCCATTTCAAGTAACTTTATTTCTGGTTGGTTTATCTTGATTTCAAAGCCTACATCAAGAAGAATGGCCATTCTGTTGGTGTCATTCTTACGCCACAAAATTGGTCAGGGGTTGTGTTTGAGGGATTAGGGACTTGGAAAAATGCTCCGCTGAACTGACTTCTAAGTAAATGTGTATAGGATTGTACTACTCTTCAGTGTCTGTTATGTACACTACATTCTATACCCAAAGAGATAGTGTTTTCCACAATGCACCAGGGCAATTAGGACCTGCACCTTGAAGGAGGAAAGCTGTGATGATTACTTCTGATCCTTCTTATTAATGCACATATGCAGAGAGGCAAATATTCAAATGGTTCACAGAGAGCATGGGATCATTTGCCTCTAGATCATTTTGGTTAAATGCCAGTCTTTGTTCCATTTGAATGTCCTCCAAAAAAAAAAAAAAAAAGACATAATGATTTGGACCTGTCACCAGAACAGTTCAATAAAAAGAGGCAACTTGTTTTATTTTGTAAGGAGCCTGGAGAGGTTATTTTAGATCTCTCACTCGTAGCAGCCTTGCACATTTAATGATGGTTGTAATTTGCATAAGGAGCTGGCACCACAGCAGAGAAGGATTAATCCCACTGTCGGCAATAAGATGATCATTTCTGCACATGAGACAAGAAGGAGAAAGGGCTACTGTAAATAATGAGGCTGGTGAGGCTGCAAGAAGCATATAAAACAGAATATTAATTTTTCTTCAGTGGGAATAGCACATGACAAAAGCGAGGCTTTCTTCTGCTTGTTTGTTTATTGAAAATTCATCTCCACAGAGGCATTATGTTAAAATTTGCTCTCTGATGTTGGTGATTGCAGGATGCAGAGGGCCACTAGAGTATGTTCTCATTTACGTGCCTTGATACAAATCTCCAATTACTGTCAGAGATAGTTCTTGTTAAATATGGTAAGCTTTCTGGCTTCTAAGAAGAGTATGAATATGTATTCTAGACTCCTGGGCCAAACCAAGGATGATTCTTTGGACTGAGAACACTGGAATCGCTGGTGCAAAATTAATTAAATATCTAAAGAGGACATCATAAATAAAAACTTTCCAGAAATACTGGCTTTGGAGACAATCAGATTTGGGAAGTGAAAATAGTTGGGTTTGAAGTGATAGAAGAGATGCTTTACAAAGTACTTTTTGGTGTTTACAGCTAAGCCAAATCAAAGGAATCTTTGTCAGCCATTGGTTTTCTTGTTACAGGAAGCACAGAGACTCTGAGACTTGAATGAATGGAACCTCATTTCACCTGTTGGGAAGAATAAATGCAACACTCCATGGGCAACCTAAAAATAGAAACAGAGGTGAAGAAGAAATACATTTTAAAAATCCTCTGTATCAAAATATGTGTTGGGATACAATTAAAAAAAAACTTTTTTGCATGTCTACAGAGCATGAAAAAAATGTCCCTTCATGTTCATATTTCCAAAATACATTTGAAATGTCTTTATACATTCCATATAATTTCTCTGTTCTCATGTACCCATGATACATTATTTTATAACCATTCTCTTTGAGTTCATCACAATGTAAATTTTAACCCTTTTAATCACATATTTTCCCACTGAATTAATTTTCATATTGTAACCACAATTCTTAGTCCATCTTATCATACATTCTTTAACTTGTTCTTCCTCTGGTTTAAATTTCTACAAATTATACATTTAGCAATTATATGTTCTTCATCAGTACACAACTGTATTTCAAATTCGCCATACTGTAAGTGCTCCATACCATAAATCTTTTTACCCATTTTAAATATTTCAATCTGTACATGGAAAAACTGTATCCTTCCACTATTAATTGTTCTCTTGTTGTAATTTTTAATTCCTTTTAATAGTTTTTCATTAAGTCCAGGTATGTCAAACATCTATCTTTGTCTACCAGTTCTCTTCTATGATATGCTTCTTGAATTGAGATCCATAAAGGTGTTTTTCTGCACAACTTGGGTTTATACTATTCCATATTCTCAATGTGGCAATATGGCCCATCTAATGAAATGATTTTTAAAGCCGACATTTATGCTAACTTTATCTTACTATAAATATCCATGCCATCCAAACCTCAGGTTATGATCTTCTATGTGTGAAAATCTCTTGTTTCTCAAAAAAAAATCAATTTTTCATCCATCCAGATCAAACAACAAGCAACAGAATACAATTTCAAAGCCCGAAAACCCAACCTTCCTCCTTCCTTTGCATCTTATAACACTTTATATTGATGTATATTCAACCCTAACTCTAACCCTTTCCATATAAATTTAGATATAACTTTTTTCCATTGTTTAAATAGAACATCTGTTGTCAAAACAGCTGCTGTCTGAAACAAAACACCATTCTTGGCAAAACATTCATTTTTATCACAAGAATTCTTCCTGACAGTAGCAGTTTAAATTTCTCTGATCTTAATACACCCTTCTTAAGTTCAGTCCATGTCTTAACATTTTCTCCATCAGTTCTGTCTGGTTTTCCTATTAGAATGTGTTCTATCTCTGCTTTCAATTAATTGAAATGCCACTTCCTTTTCATGTAATCAACCTTTCTTCTAAGCCAGGTTGGACATGAAGGATCTTTCCACGTGATTTTGGAAACAGATTCATGAATGTTACTTAATTGTGAAAGAGAGTATTCTCTAGCTGCTTAGACGTTTTCCTATTGCAAACAATCCATGGATGTTAATTGGAATTATTGACTATTCGATATTGACAGAAAAGTTATGCAGGTTCATATGTGGTTGGATATGGATAGGGAGCCCATCAGGAAATGCCAGTGATAGAATTTTTTTTTTAAAAAAACCCTTTAAAGAGAAAAAAACATCCTATACTGTTGCCAAGTAAAACAACATGAAGGAATAACCAAGAATTAAACTCATTTTAACTCTTGACGAGACTGTATAGAGACAGTACATTTATTGGTTGATCGTAGGTTTAATGCTTGGATCAAATTAAATAGTGACCTCAAATTTAAATCTATGCCCAATAAAACCTAACAGTATATTAATAGTGTAAAACTTTTTCTTGGATATACAGACTATAATTACTAATTAAAATATGTTAGCAAATGCTATTGAATAGAATTCAAATAATGCTAAATCTGCTATTTTAACTAGAAAAAACATGAAGTGAAGAAAATAAGGCCCCCAAAGTGAATACATACCAATGCTGTGGTAAATACAATATAAGAATAAAATGTCTGTTGAATGGGAAGCATTGATTTCAAAGTGAAAGTGAACCTCTATGATATAATTTGGAGCGGAAAGAAACTAAGGTTAAATTTTAATGTTTACAATGCTGTAGCATGTATAGGATGTTCATAAAAGTGTCCTCCTTTTAGAAAAAAACTGAAGACAAAATCCCTACTGCTTTGCAGTCTCATGAATTTGCTTAAAATATGTATTACTGATTGCAATTTTATAATGATCTTTAAGGAATCCTGTACAATATTTACCCATAACTCACATGGTAAAAAATTGAGGATTTTTTGTATATCTCTCGTTTTTACATCTTCTTAAAAGAAGATATATCACTTTTTTTTTTTAAAAAAAGGCACCTTCAACAGCTTTAATTATGTTAATTATCACATATTTTGTTAATAACACTTTCATTTGAAGACATCCATTAGAGATTCAAAGTGTTAATTTACCAGGATATTTAATGAAACACTGATGGAAATTTCTCTTTAAATTAAGTTTACTTACTTTTAATGCATATCCTAATTAGACAAAGATACAGTATTATAGGAAATATTGCACAAGCAGAAATAAAACCATAGATATTTAATACAATAGATATTAGCCTTAGATAATAACATCTGCATTCAAACAGATGTATTTTGCTTTCTTTTTAAACTGTAAATTCTCATCAAAATATTTGTTTCGATCTGATACTTATTTTGGTGGTGGTGGGGTGGGGTGGGGTGAGAGAGAGGAATTCAGTTTGATTTTGGTTAACAAATATCTACTTTTCCAAAATGACTGTAGAACTGGACTCTAATAATATTTTTTTTTCTTGCAGTTAGATATACTATGGAGGAGGAAAGATAGAAATGCCCCAAACACAAGGACTGGAAGTGTACGAAAAATAGCCTGCATTAACTGAGCTAACACAACTTTTTCTTCTAGATGACTATGATTTGGTCCTTTCAAATTGAAAAAATAAAATAAAAAAAAAAACCCACCACTCAGCACCTCAAAACAACCTTGTCATATTTTTTTTTTCTTTGAAAGAACTGATGTGAGGCCACATCAGCTGGGAAAACACCTCAGAGATAGATGGTCCATCTAATTTGCAGACACTTCTGCAACTGCTGAACAAAGCATGGGATGCAAAACCGCTGTCCTAAAAAGTTTTGTTAGAATTGTATTTCTTTGTTTTCAAAAGTTATTTCAGGTGCTGCTCAGAATTCTAGGCTGATAGGTGTCATCATACCAAAAGCTTAGGAAACTCTCATATGCGCACATAAGCAATTCTCATTTTGTATTCTTTGTGAAACAAAAATGTGCATTCATCTCATTACCCTCACACTCAATTTGTACAATTCACTGGAATAAGATCTGCAATGGCCATTAATTTAGATGGTTTTTTAAAAAAAGGATTAGACATGAATGAGAGGTCTGTCATTAACTATTAATCATGGCAGCAGAAAATGGAAGTACTATGTATCTCAGCCTTCTTCAACCCGGTGTCCTTCAGATGTGTTTGAACTCATCATGAGCTTATTTCTAGCCAGCAGCAGGGCTGATGGTGTGGAGAGTTGTAGTCCAACATGTCTGGAAGGCATCAAATTGAGGAAAACTGCTCTACCGTATCTTTAAAAGAAACATATTAAGTGTTATTAATAACAATGGACTGGATGACGTTTGGAGCAATGCTACATTACACATAAGAAAATCCTTTCATTGGCATCAATGCTGTTTTTTTTCTTTAGGATTCTTGGTCTGAGAAAGTGGGGAGGAAAGAAATTATATTTTCTAAACAACGAGGTGAAGAGGAAGAAGTGGGCTTCTCCCTCCTCATGCACATTGTCCCACTCTATGCTTTCATAAACTATCAATTAAAATGAAAGTCAAATGGCATTATGTTATCACAGTTTATAAAATGAGAACTGTGTCTATGTGTTTTGTACAAGATGTTTTTTTCAGATGAATCAATCCACAGTTTCCATACATTTGGGTGTACAATTGCATAGATTTAAGGAGAACATTATAGCAGCACCGATATGCTACATACTAGAAAAAAAAGCTGGGTGAAATGTAAAGCAGTCAAGTCTTCTTAGAATGATAGAAGCTGCATGAATGTTCATTGGGCGAGAACAAGGATAAGTCTATCTTTGTCAGCTTTTACGCATGCCAGCTACCATAGAAGCCTATGAAATTGGCATGTTCTCCATATAGCTAACCATAGCTGATTTTATGTGGGTCCAGTGGTGGATTCCTCCTGGTTCGGCCCGGTTCTCCCGAGCCAGTAGCGGTGACGATATGACATCACCGAACCGGTTCTGCCCCCCCCCGCGCCCGAGACCTAGCCTATAGAATCACCAGGAAGTAGACTTGACTGAATGGATATCATCATCATCATCATCATCATCATCATCATCATCATCATCATCATCATCATCATCATCATCATCATATGTCTTGTCAGAAATACTTGCAATATTCTTGGATTTCTTCATGAACCTGTGCAGTCATAATATCTGCTTCTATGATTGGTGCTATTAGAGTTGGAAGGGCAATCTGTAGACACATGCGGTACCCAGATCCAGTTTGCAGTCCCTCTGGCAGCCTGAGATCACATCACCACAATTCAGTGTCAAAGTCACTGCAATTTGTATTGTGTTTTCCCATAAATGAAAATCTAGAATGATTGGGTTGGATTTAAGGCTCAAGTCATCAATTTTCACTCTTAAAAAACCTCCAGGGTCCTCAAATAAAAAAATTCAGTTTCACCTACCTTAAAGCTCTAAGGTCCTTGCAGGCTGAAATAATAACATTAAAAACTATCGCCCCAAAGCCAAACAAAATTGCCTGTTCCTGAATTCATGTGACCAACCCAAGCAATCTTCTTAAGGAGAAGAAGGCAAGTACTTTCCAATAGGAAGAGATTAGGAGCCTATTTTCTACTTGTGTGCATATTTCATTGAACAAGTACATAGTACATATTTGTCCTTGCAAAAAAAGAGAAAAGAATTAACCATGGTGAACTCAGAAGTGGCCAGCTGGATTAAAGTTCATTTAATGGAAGACTTGGAAAGAA